TTTATTTATTAACAAAGCTTGCATTTGAAAATTTGTGACTCAATTCAACTCTTGAATTCTATTTAACAAAGGGCTGCTTTGGTTTTATTTTTATTAACATCATTTACTAAAAACTTAAACCTATAGACTATATATTAGATGCTTCAAAATCTCATGGCCAAAATGAAAAGGAGAAGAGACAAAAAATATCAAATAGGAATGCAGAATTGCAAATGCTATCCGGAAGGGCAAGATTACAAATCAACGAGATCTAACTCTTCAATTCTAAGCTGTCTCCCTATTAGAATACCTTTATTATACCTTTACCTATTTATTATACCTTTACCTATTTATTATACCTTTACTTATTTATTATACCTTTACCTATTTATTATACCTTTATCTATTTATTATACTTTTATACCTTAACCTATTTATTATACTTTTACCTACTTCCATACCTTTTTACGAAAAGAGATAGCTAAGAGATCCAAATCGGTATTTTTCCAGTAATAAGTAAAGTCTACAGAATTTTTTTTTCTTTTTCAGAATATGAAAATCAAAAATAAAGAATTACATTATTATTATCTTCCTAATAATATATGTATGTAAATATTATGTTTCTAGTGACAAAATGCACAGAAAAGCATACCGGTGCTTCGAGTTGTATTTATTTTTATATTATTATATCCATTCCTTCTCCTTCCAATAGTTGGAATAATTTTTTGTCCCAGGGGAGATTACTAATTTTAAATAACTTAGGAAAAAAAAATTTCAAAGTAGGAAAAAATTTCAATGGTCTTTACGCTATAAACATCATTGTAAGGAATACCGAGAAATGCAAAATTAGCTTATAAACATCATTGCAGGAAATACCGGGCAACGGTCCTTAAAGTTTTGAAAGGAATACCGGTCAAGTGTACGTCGAGCAACAGCTTTTTGTTCTAAATATCAGTGATGAGAATCCATTGCATTTCCTTCATTTATAAACCTGTCAAAGAAAGGTAACGATTCATGCCAAATATTGTGGCAATTTGGAATTGAAGGACATGCACTGCAAGCTTGTAATCTTGCACCAGAGATTACTAGATGAAGCTGTAAATTATAAGCATATTTTAGAAGATGTACCGTGAATATAATCTATACAATATAATACGTTACGGAGTATGGCAATCTTTTTTTAGCATCTCTTGCAGTACTTAGATCACAAATGTGTGACTGTGAGAAAATGCAGTATAAATAAAATAATTAAGAAAATGGCTTTTGTTTATTGCACTTGCTTGTACATTACTTATAGTTTGAAACCCTCTTCAGGGCTTTGGATGGTATTTGCGATTTCATGTTTCTATGGAATTTTTCAATTCATTTTGTATACCAGGAATTGCCCCAGCATTTTGGCCTTGTTAAATCGAAAGCACCCTACCCAGAAATGGATTGCTTAAAAATGGGCAAAGGTATGTACGATCTGTAAATATTTACTTGCTGTATTCTATCTTATTCAACTAACTTCTCTCTCTCTAAAAGAACAATATCCTCAGGGTTCAGAATTTTCCGTCTGGGATCCATCTCAAATTCCATGGAAACTTCATCCCCGTATTCGTCTTCAACGCTCGTGTCGAGTCGAGGTTTCAAATCTGCATCAGAATCTTCACCCCTCTCTTCTTTTTCATCGTCTGTATCCTTTGGAGGTATCTTTGGCAAGTCCTTGGAATCGTCGATCGGTTTCTTTCTAAATCTTTTAAAAAGTGGGAGGTACTGCCTGGCTTTGTCCATAAAAACAGACCATCTATCCCTTAATGGCTTGAGGTTGAATTCGATACCAACAGACCCCCCTTGGAGGGCGTTGTCCAGATGTTGGTGAAGACTTCGCCCTGTCTGTTTTCCATAATCATCTCCTGGTGGTTTAGAATAAATTCGAATCTGCCTGGGTTTTACGACATGCTCGACTTTAGTAAAATCGTAATCAGTTTCTTCAGATTGAATAGCCCAAGTGAAGTGGATGCATACGAAAAGAACTATAACACAAATGTTCAATCTAAAAAAGAGATAAATAAATAAATGATAAAAATTTAATCTCAGAATTAAATAGAAGAAAATGATTTTGAAAGTTCTTTTAATGATAATGAGATAAACAAAAAGTGGTGTTGTGATTACGTTTCGTGATTCTGATTACGAATTGACGGTTTTCAATCATTTTTTTACTGGAAAACGTTTTCAGTAAAAATAACTACTCTTTGCTGCAAATTTATGCGACAGAACACAACTTTTCCTCCCGAAATTATGGTTTAAGTACAAAAAGGTTAAGAACGATGGCGCCACAAGTACCTTCAAGCGATCTTTCCTTTATTTCGCCCTTCGATTACGACATGTGATTGTGGTTGACGTTTAGAAATTATTATGATTTGATTTTGATGTATTAAATCATTTCGAAAAATTGTGATAATTAACAAGCTTAATTTTTGCAGTGCCATCTATTTGGAAAATTTTTAACAAAAAACTGGAACTCCCAGATATAGCATTTATGCCTTACCACTTGAATTTTCCATTACTTGAATTTTCCATTGCATATTGATAATTTACTATTATCAATATGCAATAACTGGATTCGAATCCCAACAATGGCTGGTTGATACGAATTCCGCATCTGGCTCGCACCGACCACAATGCTGACGAAAATATCCTTAGTGGTAGACGGATCATGGGTTATAACTTATAACCCTCTCGCCCTGAGGCTAATTGTGGGAGGTTTTTGTTGTTTTCCTCTCTGTGTAACGCAAATGCGTGTTAGTTCCATCAAACAAAGCACTCCACGAAGGCAAATTTCCCCTAATACTTGATCCCAGACTTACCTTGTCTTCTGGATTGGATTCAAAATTAGTAATCGCGAACTCTAAATTGAGTTAGCAGTTCAAAAACGGTTATAAAATGAAATAAAATAAATAGAGTAATGGAGAAATAGAAGAGATCAAATCAGTGACAAAACAAGCCAAATCGATCGATAAGGAAACAAATTAAATCAGACAATGATAAAACAATCAAATTCAGACAATGATGAAATAAATAAGCAATGAAGAAACAAATGAAATTAAATCACATAAAATAGAAAAGGAAACATAAAAATATAATTTGACTCAAAATCCAAGATGGCGTAGGTTGTAATAACCACTAACGAGACGAAGTTAAAGTGACCTACTTTCTTTGTGAATATCGGGTCTGCAATATTTTAGTTCATTGGAGAGTGCATTATCTCAAAACTTTTAAGCTCATTTTTCTTGGGCGAATAAAACGGCTGATCTTAAATTTTCTCATAATCAAAGTGTATAAAGAATTCATTAAAGATTCTTTAATGAATTCTTTATACACTTTAAACTCATCTTCAAATCAGCCAACAAGGAGTCTTAATTCTTCTCGAAAACTGAAAATCTAAAATTTGTGGTAAATATGATCAAGGTAATCAAGAAAAATCGATAAACTGCTATTAATGGTAAAACGTTTAGTTGTAGGTATTCAACGTCAAACGATTTTAATGCGCAATAAAAAACAAAATAACAAGATATAATTATAAAAATTGATTTCTCCCCTCCATTTTTGATAGTGTGTTTTTTTTTTCTTCCTTTTTTTATGTTCGCACGAATATTTTCGGATGGCTCAATTTTTTTTTCTTTCACTTTTTTTAGTAACCTCATAAGAAAAATGATTTTAGAAAAATAATGAAAGTTTTGTGAATATCAGCGATTTATAGTAAAAATTCGATTTATAGTAAAATGAATTTTAGGGTCTTAATTTCCTCTTCATGAAAAAAAAGATTTATTTTACTCTATAAAATTTCAAATTTCGTTGTTCCATTGAAAAAAAATTCACATAATCCCTCATATAAACGATTACAAAATTATGTGCATTAGGTTTATTTAATTTTAAACTCTTCTTATTAAGGTTTTAAAAATTTCAATGTATTAAAATTTACACGCTAAAAAAATATACGTAATAAATACCAATAAGAATTTTCACAATTCAGTTAAAATGCACTTTTTGTTGAATTAGTTAAAAATCTTCGAAGTAATAACTTTACTGTGCATAGTAATAATTTCACAGCATAGTTATAGTTTTTGTGTATTTCTAAATCGCAAGATTACTTAATTATATATTAAAAATGATAAATGAATGCAATAAAAATGGGAGAAAAGATTTTGAAAATGAATTAAGTAGTTCCACAGAAAATATATATTAAATAATGACATAAAATTATTTTTAAAAGTAAATTAATAATGAATGAATGAAATGAAGGATCAAAATTAAATAATGAATACAAGATATGCGATTTAAAATGAGTACAATAACAGTAAGAAAAATAAAATTTCGAAAAAGTGATTTGATAGTTTCTGAGAAAAACTAGACGAGGTGCAACATTTGACTCATGAAAGACAATCATAAGGCCAGAATAATCTGGTCGGTAGGGCACTGGGCCCATGTCCGAGAGTTCGTGAGTTCGAACCCCGAAGACTCCCCGTGCAGTAAATAGAGACTGATGCACGTTAAATCTGTCGAGTCGCAAAGTCATCCATGTTCTTATAACAAATCAATTCCTCTGGGGGTACTGGATTGGAGATCGATCGTTCTCTGATTCAGGCGAAAAATTACGATATGTGGATGAATGAATGGATGTATGAATGGGTCCACCCTATAAACCGGCAGTGACGTGTGTGTGGCTGAAGACGAGTTCTTGACTGTAAATAGCGCCACTGAAAAAGAAGAAACGCACCCTCTGCCTTAAATTTGCTCGGTTTCACCATCAGGCTTGTTAGTGTGGCAAGTGACACTAGAAACAACAACAACAAGACAATCATGAAAATAGGATTTTTTTTAGTTAAGATGTAATTTATAGCTGAAGGAAATAATTTTTATTGTATATAAGTATATTTTAAAAAAATATTTTGTCAGGTATGTATTTTCATCCTTGCTGTTAATACTACAGTTTTTATAAAAATTTTATTGTTAGTTTTCATTAAAAAGATAAACAGCAGTATTATTTAAAAAAACACTTTATTGAAAATATAAATATAAAAGTCTTCAGCTTAACAGACATTTCCTGACATTGATGTAAATGTGTAAAATATAGTTACAAGAAACAAATAGTGAAAACAAAATTCGAATTCCATAAATAAGCGAAAATGGTAAAACTTTTGCGACATTTTTTTTCTTACTAAAATAATAAACATTCTTTAAAAAGGGCATATTTTTTCAAATTTTAATAAAATTTTTAAATTTTTTTTTATGTTGCACCATTTGTTGCAAAAGATTTCATAAGCTCTCTTTGAGATATTTTAAAAACACTTTAACCTAATTTCCCATAATAAACTCCCATTTCCCTAATATTAGCTTATTTATAATCACATATATCAACTTTTTTATCATTGTTGGCTCTTCTCATTTAAAGTAAATTAAAATTACGTAATTTTTTCTTTTTATGATTTTTTCTTACATTCAAATAACATTTGAGCATAAAAAACATTTAATAATCAAAATCTTACTTTTCTTCTCGAGATAAACATCTAAAAATTGTTTCACAATTTATGCAATTTTGATATAGTTTGAGATACATCGCTTTATTATTTGAAGAAGCTTAAAAAGAATAGGATTATAAAAGCATTCGAAATTTTAACATCACCTGAAATTCAATACGGAGAAATAACAAAACTAAATATTATTCGCAGTCAACGTTGGCCCACCTAATATACGGCTCCCCTGAAAGAGTGGCTGACAAATTTGCCCTTCTGCCTGTCTGTATCTGCCAAATCTGCCTGTATTAACAAAAGTTTATTACCCATGTGGGCATTGGAAAAAAATATCTCGCATACTGATTTAGATTTTTTTTAAAAATTTTTGCCATAATTGAAAGATCATTAAAATCACTTATCTTTCAAATAAAAATAATAAAACTTGGCAGTATAGTAGTGTGTATAGTATACAGTGGCTATCATAGTAATATCCTGGTAATATAATTCTCCTGGTAATATCCTTCATCTTAAATTATAAAAATACTACATAAAATAATTCAGGAAAATTTTAAACAAATAAAAAAAGTACGAAATGATAATATTTGCTTTAAAAATACTAATATGTTTATAAGATACATTTATAAGATTAATACAAACAATCGTAATAAAATTAATTGACCAAATTATTTTATGCAAAAATTAAATATTCATATTCATAAAATTTTAGTTCACATTTAGGTTCTTTTCGGGTAGCAAGAAAATTCCGGTATTTTTTTATTCTATTTACTTTTATGTGGTTAAAAAAATTAATAAAATGAAAAACAAAAATAGTTGGCGAAGGTCTACATTTTTTGGAGACTTTTACACTTACACTTGCGTTCGGCTAACCGAAAAGTAAGCACAATTCTGTACAGCATGTCATACTGCATGTAAAACTCTTCCTTACTAAAATACCAACTCAAAAAGAAAAAGCATTTTTTTCTTTTTTTGTCAGAACTGGAAGAAAATTTCATAAAAATTTGTTTTATTTTTAAGAATTTTAACTAGATATAAGCATTAATATGCTGATTGTAGATAGTTTTTAAACATTAGAAGTAAATAAAGAACCTTTCACAGATACTAGTAGAAATTTAATTTCAGTGGAATTAGGGGAGAAATTCAGTTTTTGATATATGTCGTACTGGTCAGTATCAAAACATACACCATGAAGTACTTTTAAAAACTGATAGCAGCTTTTTCATAAAGTTGCTAGAAACGCTAACATTTACCAAAATAACACCCGGATGTGGAGAGGATATTATTATCGACTGGGTCAATCAAATAATTTTATCGAACTCTCCTCTGTTGCTTGGAAACGGAAAGAAATTTCATAAAATTTCTTTTGAAGAGAACATAATTAGGGAAAATTTCTCCTAAACAATGCACAAAATGCTCACATGCTAAACTTTCTTCAAATTGACAAATATTTTTTTAGTTGTTTCAAGTATTTTAAGAATTCAACTAGGTAAACATTTTTTAAAAAAGAGGTTTTCAAAGCCCTTTGCTTACGTTCTTATGATCAAACAGCTCAATAGATCTAGAGATCAATGATTTTAGACAAGAGGCGATTTAAAAGTTTAGAATAATAAATTTCGAATCTAACCTTCAATCCATAATATACCAAAGAATTATTGATTTGCAGACACATCACCCTTTGATACTTTTGATTTTAAGGGAAATGTTCGAAATAAAAATTTCGCATATATATATCTGTATCTATTATCCTATAAACAAAACGAATAAGTTAAGAAGCTATAAGAACTTTGAAAAATTGCTACTTTTATTTTATGTTTTGAAAGTGCTATATCTTATTTATAAACAGATGTCGGTTTGACAGAAAAAAAGTTAACTACTTACTAATGTTTCCAATCATATTAAATCAATCATAATTTGTGTTTCCAAATGCAATTGTCTCAGAGCTTAGATTTTAAAATCGGTAATTGACCTACAACTCAAACAATTCTTAATTATAATCTTGGAAGAATAGCTTTGAATTAGCGTTAGAAATTCCTTGAAAATCAATCAATAACTTTTCGAATTATACTGATCATAAATTTTTAGATAATTACTTTTACAGTTTCCATATACGATGGATTTTTAATAATGTCTAATCTAAATTGAAATAAAAAATTACATAAATTTTTTGAAAGTCTGGAAGTATAAGTAACTCATCAAAATATCTTTGGAAAAACAATTATTTCTGATAATTACTCACTGATACAACACGCGCGCGCTTGCTTGAAAAAATTAAAAACTTAATTTAAATCAAAAATCTCTTTTTATTTCCTAAACTTAAGGAATTTGTGAACAATGTGCACATTGTCCACAAATTTATGCGTGTCTAAATGTTTTTTTAGTGTCACTGAATTTAAATTGAAATAAAAATTACATAAATTTTCTGAACGTCCGGAAGTTCAAAGTAACCTATCAAAACATCTTTGGCAAACCAATTCTTACTGATGATTAGTCACTGATACAACACGAAAGTTATAAAAATTAATTTAAATCCAAAATCTCTTTCTTATTTTCTAAGCACATTGTTCACAGATTTATCAAAACTCGCGGATTTTTTAGTGTTGCCGAACCTAATTTGGAAAGGTTTCGCATTGGACATAAATTTCACCGGAACGTGGTAAATTTTGGAATTGAGGAAGTGTCTCTTTGGTCTTGGCTTCACTCTAGGATTGATGATTTCTTCATAAGGAATGTCTGGATCATCTTCAGGATCTTCTCCAATATCTTCCCAAGAAGGTCCTTCTGGTACGGGTTTTTCAGGATTTTCTGGCATCCAGTCCTTCTCATGTTCATCATTATCCCAGTTTCCTCCTTTGGGGGGATCGTAGGGTTCTGGAGGAGGTGTCTGATGTTCTGGTTGACCTACCTCTGGTTTTCCACCTGGAATAATCTTTTTGGCGTGTTCTATTATTCCATGGACAGGTGCTAAAGGTCTAAATTCGATTCCGATGGAACCCCCATGGATTACGTTGCCAACGTGACCTAAAATGCCAGGACCTGTCTGTTTGGGGGCGTCCTCCTTAGCTGGTTTTGAAAAAATGCTAATGATCCGTGGTCTGTTGCTCAGAAAAAGAGGTAAGGTTTTTTGGGGTTCTTCTTCGTCGCTGTCTGAAGCGATTTTGAAGGCTGCGGCGATGTTGGCGAAGAATACGATGTTAGCAAGTATGAATACACACCTGTAAAGTAAAATAGAAATATTGTTAAGTCTTATTTACAGCTAAATTATATACGTATGTATGAAAAAATTTTCAAAAAGAAGCAAAGTAGAGAGTGCTAATAGCATAGATTTATTAAGTAAGGTAAATGAAAAAACGTATGCAAAAGAAAAACGTCTAGAGTACGCAAAGCATTAAAACTAAAGTAACTTCCAAATTCCGAAATTTTTTGTTTCTATTTCATATATATTCTATGCGCAACACAGGACCCATCGTGAGACACGGTTCCCATTGGATCACCGAAGTAAAGGGCCACTGGATGCGGTGAGTGAACGGATAGATGACTACTTTGATCAGTCTGCGAAGGAACCAAGAATGCACGGAATCGGTTCTCGTTAAAGTGTTACATCGTAAAATGCTGGACTTAACAAACCTCGTTAGCGTGAGTTTCTTTTAACGTGAACTAATTTTCAATTCCCCGTCAAATTGTATACGGATATAATATTTTAAAGTACTCTAACAGGCTTAACTTGAAATATATTTTAAGGTCAACTTGAATTTTATTGTCTTCGGAAAATTTTGTATTTATAATGTGCACAGATTATTTTTTCCCGAAAGACTGACCATTCACAGTTCGATTAGAGCAGGTTTTTTAAATGATTTGTTATGCTGTTGATAATTGCAACATTATAGCAGTCAAAATGGGGAGGGAGCATTACAGGAAACAACATAAGTCTTTATGCACTCCGGTGGTTTCCAAACTGGGGGCGATTGCCCTCAAGTGTACGATTTCTCCCCTCAATGAAACGATGAGTTTAAAAAAAAAGAAGAAAAAAAATTATAAAAGCCTAGCGAATATTGAAATTGAAAATTTATATGAAACCAATGATTCAGAGTTCAAACAAATCATTACTTATTTTTAAAAAATAATAAAATAAATGAATAAAAAAAGGTACAAAGGTTTCTCGTCATACTTTGGGTTAAGCAAAGATCTTTCGTCAAGATTCTCTCAGAACAAAGAAATAGGTTCAACATTCGCTTGAAAGCTGGCCTGTTATGAACATTCATGCTTTCTCTGAAAGCACCAGGAAGTCTTTGTAAAGATGAACAAAAGAGTTTTCAAATTTTAATTATTTAGTTTTAATTATAAATAATTATTTAATTATCATTTTAATTAATTTTACGTAAGAAAAAGTATGCACTTCTGTTTTAATTATTTTCCTTCAAAGATTTTATCTTTTTTAACAAAGAAAGAAAAAAAACCGTAAAGCATTACATTTTCACATTTTTTTCAATTCAGTATTATTGAAGCTTATAGCGACTACAAGTCCTGTTTCTTTTGTGCAAAAAAAGGGGAGAGATCAGGGGTGTGAATGTAAAGAAACTCTTAGTAATAACAACCCATATGAATCTATTGTTCTATATGAGTAATCATTTCTCCCATGCTCTCTCATATGTTGTTTTAAGAAATTAGTATTGCTGAATGGCATCTCTACAGTTGAAGACGAGGGGAAGTAGAATTTTTCTTAAATTTTACTCGCGAATACTTTGGTTTGCTTTTCTCTTGTGAATGCTTACGAAGCAATTAAAACTCTTCGTTCTTTTGTAATGTAAAATGAAAATTCAAACCATTATTATTATTATTATTTATTTATTTATTTTTTGTATTACATAAAGATCCAAGAGTAAGTACACTTTTTGAATTTCCCCGGAACTATAAGAAAAAATTTCTTCCCTTATAACTAGACAGCGGATAATATGCAATTGCAAACGTGCATATGCAATTGCATATTTTAGCACTTTTTGCCATTTGTGCATATAAATGCATAAAAAGGTATATTTGCTCTTATAAATGCATATTTTTCTGCATTTTATGGCTTTTCCCTCCTAAATCCATATCACTATTCTTTTTATGTTAGCATAAGAAACGCTTTAAATTTTGTTTTGTCGTTCTTTATCACCTGAAAGGGTCAGCTGGATTGATGTTGCTGGGGGTGATTGCAATCACGTGAAAAAGATGTAGAAATGAGGTGTGTGTCGGAAAGGGGGGTACAAAGGGCCCACCCAAACAGACATTCGTCATAGAAACCTCAGAAAGGGATGGTCAGATATTCTATGAAGGGATGTCTTTTCCTGGAATAAATAATTGTCAATCTGTGTGGGAAAAATAAGGCTTCTGTGGTAGGTAGAAAATGACCTCCCTTTCCTGTGATTGATTAGTTAAAAGGTGGAGTGAATACATCTGTGGAAAAATGGATAATATTCCTACTCGACCACATCTTCTAGCAAGCAAATCCCTTGAAAAAGTCAATCATTCAACCATAGCAAGGTTTGTCAATGATTCCATCAGATTATTATGGCCTGATGGAGATGGTTCTGAAGATGTTTTGATTTTTGTCAGTGATGCCGTTCCGTATATAATCAAATCTGCAGCAGCACTGGAAATTTTTTATCCCAGAATGCTTCATATTACATGTTTGGCTCATGCTGTTCACAGACTGGCTAAGACTGTTCGAGAAGTATTCTCCTCTGTGAATGATTTAATTTCTAGTATCAAGAAAATTTTTCTCAAGGCAGCTGTGCGCATAAAATTGTATAAAGAAATGTATCCTGATTTGCCCTTACCTTCACAGCCTGTGATAGCTAGGTGGGGTACATGGATTGAAGCTGCACGTTTTTACGCTAATAATTTTGATGCAATAAAGTCAGTTGTAGATGCAATTGACAGTTCCTGTGCTTCCTCAGTTTATGTCACTAACGAATTACTACAGGATATCTCTTTGCAGAAGGACTTGCCCATAATTGACACTCACTTTTCTTTCTTAAGTGGAGCAATAACAAAGCTCGAAACACGAGGTCTTCCCCTGGCTGAGGCCATATCCGAAATTGAAAAAAATTCAACAGTGCATTAATGCTCTTCCAGACTCAGTTGGGAAGAAAGTAAAAGAAAAATGGTGTTTCGTTCAAAACAAAAATTCGGGTTTTGCAGCAGTGAAGAAGATAAATGATTTTCTTAATGGAAACGGAACTGAACTTCCAGAGAAAGTAAAACCAATGAGTACGAAATTGTACAAGTTTTGTCCAATAACATCGGTTGACGTGGAGAGGTCATTTTCTGCTTTCAAAATGATCTTTGATGACCGACGACATCAATTCACCCTTGAAAATTTGGAAAAACACTTAGTTGTGTATTGCAACAAAAATTATTCAGTTTAATAAAATCTTTCCGGAAAATGCGATGATTTTTCTTCTCTCATTTATCATACTTCAGTTTTAGG